ATATGTATATATCAAATTTTAACTCAAGCATTCTCAGAGGAAAATTCTCCAAATCACTGAAAGCCAACATGCCACACATCCAACTTTAAGAGTCAAGCGTCAAAAGAATCAATAGAAAATTAAATTTTAAACATCTCTAGCAAGTTTTTTTTCGCTGACCACCACCACGATCAGTGTGCAATGAATTCTAATCTNGTATGTATATATCAAATTTTAACTCAAGCATTCTCAGAGGAAAATTCTCCAAATCACTGAAAGCCAACATGCCACACGTCCAATTTTAAAAGTCAAGCGTCAAAAGAATCAATAGAAAATTAAATTTTAAACATCTCTAGCAAGTTTTTTTTTTCGCTGACCACCACCACGATCAGTGTGCAATGAATTCTAATCTGAATCCGTGCTGCCACCATCCAGCAACCCCCTAAAGCACCAATGGCCCATTGTTGATGCGCTGCAATATTGGCTATCTTGATTTGCTGTTCAAATGTGTGCAAATCATTGGCAGCGAGCGCAAACATGCAAGCACAAACACTCACACCGCTTCATGCAAGGCTATAAAAAATCATATGCATGTACAAGGAGGAGCACATAAATAAATTGATATGCATAACGGTCATGTATAGCGGAGCGCACAAAGCGTGTGATGCAATGTATTCATCCCGGTAGTGCCATTGTGTCTGAGCGAATCTGTTGTGCAGTTATGAAAAATTCAATGCACAAATATCTCCATACTTAGAAAATGTGTGTGTGTGTGTGTGTGTGTGTAGGTATGCGTGTAAATAAAAATCTGGAATCCCTACAAAATGAACGTCTAACGGTCGTTCAGTGGAAACTCTCTCGTAACAGCATTGCGCGTGGATTTCTTCGATGTTTGCTCGACATTGTTGTTGTGATTATTGCTGTTGATGCAGTTGTGCTGTATGTTGCTGTTGCTGTGGTTACACCGACATGTCCTGCACGTCCATAGCTGCTGTTGTTATGAGGCATGTACATACCTACTAAGCCGTTTCTATCGCGGTTTATTTCTACTCTCCTCTTGTAAAAGCATAGCTTTCTTCTGTGTTTCGCCCGCTGCTGCTGTCCTTTTTCTGTTGGTTTATATGTATGTATCTCTGTATTTTTATCTTCTCACATGTGCTTGCGCGTGTATGCTTCGTTTACAAAAATTCATCCGAATGTTGGCCGAGTAAGTATACGATTTTCTTTTTTCAACATTGTTAAGTCGCTTTAAGCTGCTTTAAAAATGAAAGCCGGATGAATGATAGACGCAGCAGAATGTGGAAGATACTCTTGTCGCACCAATCATGGATATTTTGCTTTCTTAATGCATCTGTTGTTGATATGCGATTCGCTATACACGCAGCAATGTAGACTGACAGTCCGTCACTCATTTTTGCACTGCTTACTTTTTTTTATTTTTTCTTATTGTTTGGTTGGTTACCAAGAATTCATGATTTTAATAATGCTTGAGGGTGGCGAAAAATTGCTACTAGGTCACTATCGACGAAAGGCTCAAGGATGGATCAGGAAATGCAAATAAGTAACTAATTAGAATCCTTTCGCTTTGTGGAATATGATTTTCTTATAACTTAGAAAAATTTGACTTGTGTTATTTAGAGCAAGAAATACTGATTATTTTGTGCTTTTTTAGGCAGTAATAGCAAAATAAACATGGAAAGACAAAAACTCCTAAACCTTTAAAAAAAAAAATCCCAAAAAAAAATTCAAACAAAAAAAATAATCAAAAAAAATACTAATAAAAAAAAAACTAAAAAATAAAAAGTGCTTATTTTTAGTCTTTTGTTTTTTTTTTTAATTCTTTTAAAATTAGTTTTATATCTTTTTATTTTTTTCTTCAGAAACGTTCAGGACTTTTTACCTTTTTTAATTTCCTGATTTTTGGGTATTTGTGAACATGAGCTTTGTTTTGTCTAGGAAAAAATGCAGAATTAGAATATAATCTCTGTTTAAAAGTAATGTCAAAGGCATTAAGGAGATGTAAAGCGACCAAAGGCTAGAGAAAAAAGTAAACATCAAGGAAGCGGTCAATGCCAAACCACTGCGGTTCTTACCGTGAAATATTCATGCCCACCTAGACTAGGCGCTACTTAAAAAGGCTACTGCCGAAGCTATTTGAACTTTGTTGAGGAGTTGAGCATCCAACATTTTTTTTTCAATACCCGATACTAGCTCAACGTAGAGTAAAAGCTCGTAGCCAGTAATTTCTTCCCTAATCCAGATCAGGGGTGCGCAACCAGCACCTCAATTGGCTCACAACAACATCACTGTGCCTGGCTTTGGCTCACTTACACAACAAGTAAAATAATCACAGCAAGCATTGACTCAGTGATAAAAAGCGGTATACAAATCGATCGCTATGCAATCAGTGCTGCCTTGCATGGCTCGCATTTGCTCAGGTGTAGATTTATATTATAGCCTTGTTTTTAATTTAGTATCTACCAAAATAGTTTTAGGTCGTAGTATTTTTTGATATTCCGAGAACAACATTGTTGTAATTAAATTTCTATATTGGCTGGGCACCTCTTATCTAGATGATCTCCGGCCATTAGGTATCAGTAACGTGTCCATATTTTTCCGATTGCCACCGAGTAGTTTAAAAAAAGGGATATCACGAAAAAAGTCTGATTTGAAATGGGTATTATCTGGGACTCTGGAGTAAATTAACTTAACATCCAAGAACTAACTTTAGTTTAGGTTTTGTCGGTTTTTAGCTAAGCTTATGTCAATAAAATTCACAACCGGGAAGTCCATCAAGACCGCTATCAAAAACTTGGTCGATAAATTTGACTTGTTGTAATAGCATATCACCTGAAGTGCAAAATAACGTATCATCATCGTCACTGAAATGTAAAAAGTCGTAACTTTAAAGAAATTCAAAATTCACTTTTTAATTGCTATGATGGATTTCATCAAATTAAAACACCCCACATCGTTTTATGAAAAAACAAAAATTTGTCACGACTTTTTCCAGTTCAGTGGCGATGTTGTTACGTTATTTTGCATTTCAGGTGACGATATGTAAATATTCCCAAATAGTTTTTGAGTAATGATGCTGGAGTCCTTGGCCAGATATGAATTTGGGTCGTTCTGGCAAACCAAATTTCCCGATCGCATAATTTCACGAATTTCAGCTATTAATTGGCCACCTCGATGCAGCGATTTAACACCACCGGATTATTTTTTGAGTGGCTTTGTTAAATTTAAGTCTAAGTATACGGACCCAATCGAATCGACTGCAACCGAAACACTCCAATCATGTAACCTGAGTCACGAAATTGGGCCGCCAATTTGTTAAAAATTTGTTGAAAATTTTGTGAAAGAATTGAAATCTCTAACCGTGGTTATGGCGGACATCTGCTCAATATAATTTTTCATTTGTAATTGTCAAACCTTGCTTTTTCTAATACATTTAAAGTTTGAATCATTTTCATTTAAATTCTTTGCTTTATTTTGTTTTGAAAAAAAAAAGTTTTTGTTGAAAGCGCCTTTATTAGAATAGGGTACCAACCATGTGTGTAAACATTTACATTCATCAAAATATCAAGTGAAAAAATCGAATTTATCAAACGCGTCTAAGGTCTCACTGAGCATTGTAATCTGGAAGCTAATTTTAATAGGGGTGCCATTGAGAGAATAAAATTATTTTTTTTTTTGTGGTGTAAAAATCTTCCAAAATGTCTACTAAACGAACTGCCTTCACGTACACCCTTTTGTGGATATTTTTAAAGCAGAATTGCCGCCACAGAAAAATAAATAGCTTTATAAATTTCTATTAACGGTTATCAAACGATTAGCAGTTTTAATATTTTTGTCTTGACCAACCTACAAAATTATTAGTGAAATTCAGGAATAATGTGCCGTTTTCAGGTATTAAAGGCCAGTAAATTATTATAAAGTACAAACGTCCTACAATTGACCGTGCGGCTAGTTTTTGTTAATATTCGCAATGTTTTACATGCTAAAGTTTTGTTGTCAATTTTGTTTTAAAATATGGCTTATGTTTTAGCAAATCCCATTTAAATCAAGAATGCAATTTTTTTATGGATAAAAATTCTGAAGACAATCAGCAAAAAAGTCTCAAAAATCAACGCGAAAAAAATTTGAATTTTTTTTTTATATGAAAAAAATGCGTAGCACAGTCAGCAAAAAAAATCTCAAAAATCAAAGCGAATTTTTAGAGATTTGAAATTTGCACATTATTACACTAAATATGCTATAAAACTGCATACCTGAACTCTTAGAAATTCGCATTAATAAGTTCGCGATTTTGCTGAAACTTTGCAGATTATTCTTGATTTTTGTGCACAGTATCATTCTTGGATTTAAATGGAGTTTGCTAAAAGATAAGCCATATTTTAATACAAAAATATATTTTTAGCATGTAAAACATTGCGAATATTAACAAAAAAGAGCCGTACGCTCAATTTTAGGAGTAACTATATGTATTCATAAAAAAGCGACATTTTACACTGAAATGTCTTCACTACTTTTTCCATTTTCTACCGCCAACTCATGAGGAATTCAACATCAACATGCTGCCGTCGGCTAAACTGGGTTTTTTCTAGCCACATCAGCTTCCTCAACACCGCCTGCGAGGTTGTTGAACGCTCAACGGGCGCGGCTGGTTGTTGCACACTTAGGCGCCACTCAGCGCTGCACTTCGCCGTTTATTTTGCATTTTTCTACACATATTCTTTTTGCGCGCTTCCACTCTCCCCGCATCGGATAGAAAACATATAGTCTAGCTTTATTTTCCTTCTCCACTGGAACACTCCACGTAACTTGGCTAAAAGGCGGCTCTAACGAGGCTAAAAATGCGCTTATACTGAAGTGCACCTACATATACATTTATACAAAAATATACTACGTAAGCCTGCGGAAAGCTTCAGATATCACCGGCACTAATGGCTCACTCACATAGAGTGCGCGAAAACATAACAAAACAAAATGTCACTGCGTGTGAGTACACGTGCACTTACCACTGTGATGGGATAGAATGGATTTATGATGGTGAAGAGTAGAATGTGATTTGGCCGCGTAGTTTCCGGGCGTTTCCGTCGCAGATCATCATTGGATTTGTTGAGTAAAGCCTGTTGCTGGCTCNAATATTCCCAAATAGTTTTTGAGTAATGATGCTGGAGTCCTTGGCCAGATATGAATTTGGGTCGTTCTGGCAAACCAAATTTCCCGATCGCATAATTTCACGAATTTCAGCTATTAATTGGCCACCTCGATGCAGCGATTTAACACCACCGGATTATTTTTTGAGTGGCTTTGTTAAATTTAAGTCTAAGTATACGGACCCAATCGAATCGACTGCAACCGAAACACTCCAATCATGTAACCTGAGTCACGAAATTGGGCCGCCAATTTGTTAAAAATTTGTTGAAAATTTTGTGAAAGAATTGAAATCTCTAACCGTGGTTATGGCGGACATCTGCTCAATATAATTTTTCATTTGTAATTGTCAAACCTTGCTTTTTCTAATACATTTAAAGTTTGAATCATTTTCATTTAAATTCTTTGCTTTATTTTGTTTTGAAAAAAAAAAGTTTTTGTTGAAAGCGCCTTTATTAGAATAGGGTACCAACCATGTGTGTAAACATTTACATTCATCAAAATATCAAGTGAAAAAATCGAATTTATCAAACGCGTCTAAGGTCTCACTGAGCATTGTAATCTGGAAGCTAATTTTAATAGGGGTGCCATTGAGAGAATAAAATTATTTTTTTTTTTGGGGTGTAAAAATCTTCCAAAATGTCTACTAAACGAACTGCCTTCACGTACACCCTTTTGTGGATATTTTTAAAGCAGAATTGCCGCCACAGAAAAATAAATAGCTTTATAAATTTCTATTAACGGTTATCAAACGATTAGCAGTTTTAATATTTTTGTCTTGACCAACCTACAAAATTATTAGTGAAATTCAGGAATAATGTGCCGTTTTCAGGTATTAAAGGCCAGTAAATTATTATAAAGTACAAACGTCCTACAATTGACCGTGCGGCTAGTTTTTGTTAATATTCGCAATGTTTTACATGCTAAAGTTTTGTTGTCAATTTTGTTTTAAAATATGGCTTATGTTTTAGCAAATCCCATTTAAATCAAGAATGCAATTTTTTTATGGATAAAAATTCTGAAGACAATCAGCAAAAAAGTCTCAAAAATCAACGCGAAAAAAATTTGAATTTTTTTTTTATATGAAAAAAATGCGTAGCACAGTCAGCAAAAAAAATCTCAAAAATCAAAGCGAATTTTTAGAGATTTGAAATTTGCACATTATTACACTAAATATGCTATAAAACTGCATACCTGAACTCTTAGAAATTCGCATTAATAAGTTCGCGATTTTGCTGAAACTTTGCAGATTATTCTTGATTTTTGTGCACAGTATCATTCTTGGATTTAAATGGAGTTTGCTAAAAGATAAGCCATATTTTAATACAAAAATATATTTTTAGCATGTAAAACATTGCGAATATTAACAAAAAAGAGCCGTACGCTCAATTTTAGGAGTAACTATATGTATTCATAAAAAAGCGACATTTTACACTGAAATGTCTTCACTACTTTTTCCATTTTCTACCGCCAACTCATGAGGAATTCAACATCAACATGCTGCCGTCGGCTAAACTGGGTTTTTTCTAGCCACATCAGCTTCCTCAACACCGCCTGCGAGGTTGTTGAACGCTCAACGGGCGCGGCTGGTTGTTGCACACTTAGGCGCCACTCAGCGCTGCACTTCGCCGTTTATTTTGCATTTTTCTACACATATTCTTTTTGCGCGCTTCCACTCTCCCCGCATCGGATAGAAAACATATAGTCTAGCTTTATTTTCCTTCTCCACTGGAACACTCCACGTAACTTGGCTAAAAGGCGGCTCTAACGAGGCTAAAAATGCGCTTATACTGAAGTGCACCTACATATACATTTATACAAAAATATACTACGTAAGCCTGCGGAAAGCTTCAGATATCACCGGCACTAATGGCTCACTCACATAGAGTGCGCGAAAACATAACAAAACAAAATGTCACTGCGTGTGAGTACACGTGCACTTACCACTGTGATGGGATAGAATGGATTTATGATGGTGAAGAGTAGAATGTGATTTGGCCGCGTAGTTTCCGGGCGTTTCCGTCGCAGATCATCATTGGATTTGTTGAGTAAAGCCTGTTGCTGGCTCTGTTGTACGACCGCCTGTAAGAAGAAGAATGAAGAAAAAGAAAAAACAATATGTGAGTACATATGTATAGGCAAACAATGTACGAGTATAGTTATAACATTAAAAATTGTTGCAAAATATTTGGAGCAAATATTTGTATACGGAAGATGAAAAATATTTTAGGTGCATATTACACTTTTTTTTTTTGAATATTTTAAATGCACAAAAACGCTGAACCGCACGGTAGAAACTATGAAGCAAAGATGAGTGAAATGCATAATATGGAAACTGTACGACGTTAATTTAAAGCAAACCGCCAAATGAATACTTTTTTTATAACAAAAGGCGCATGGGAAAAGAACTAAATGGGTAAATTTGTATGCATACCAGCATATATACATTACTATATTAAGGGCTTATTCTATTCTGAATTTTCCAGAAGTTACAGTAGCTAGAAGTGGCCCGAACGCGAGAGCTTCGTCAGCTCTTCAATTCTCGACGAATATCAATAGCCAAACTGAAAGCCAACACGGTAACAAAAGAGGTCAGAAAATTCAGGAGAGCTGCTCAAAAGGAGCCACACAATATGCATACAATAATGACAGAACAAATGTACGGCCCAGGAATCCCATGCTGATGGTAAACAAAAAAAAAATCAATGTTTAGCTGCTACCGCGGTACCCTCTTAGTGTTTGCGTTTTGCTCGATACAAAATTTTCTAACTCGTGTACATAAATTCTTTATTAAATCAATAAACCGTTTTTATGTTATGCATAGAACCCCAACTCCCCATCTCGTAATACTTTTCTAAATAAGATTTTTATTCATAATATGGCCGATAGAGAAATCTTGTGCCAACGAGGATCTTCAAAGAGGGGATAGGCTCCGCCACTTTATAATTTTTAAAATTTGTATTATGTTATTAAAAGCTGCTACTCGAAAATTTTCTAGAAATTCTGAATAAAAAGTTTGAAATTTTGATGCAAATTTTTTCAAGTTCGATTCGTTTTTGGGAACTTTGTGTAAGCGTTAAGACTTTTATTAATGAGGTTTCTGTCATGGATCGAACTATATTTTAAATGAAAATTATTAAAAATAAATCAAGAAAACTTGCAAAAAATATGATTTTGCATTTTGCAACAATTTTTTCGTCCATAAGCGTGGAATAGGGGGGTCCAGAAGAAGTAAAGTTGGAATTTTAATGCTCTCAACCCCAATGATTACTCTATGCCGAAAAAGTATACCCGGTTTGTTTTTTTTTATTAAAAAATATTTAAAGATCGCCAAATGCGCTCAATGTTTTCCATGTATTTTATATGAAAAAAATAAATAAATAAATCCGTCGAAATGGTTTAGAATTCTTGAAAATTAATATTTTTCGATATGTTTCTCTAAAGGAGACTTCAAATAATAATACCTATTTGTTCATTTAACCATTTTTTAATATTAACTATTTTTACAGGTCCCCCAAAAACCCCCAAAAATGTAATGTGAGGGAGTAGAAAAAATTGTAAATATAACAAAATTGTTAAGTGTACAACTGGATATTATTATTGGAAGTCTCCTGAAGAGAAACGGAGTTTTCTGATCGAAAAATGTTGATTTTCAAGAATTCTATAAAATACATGGAAAACTTTGAGTGATTTGAGCGTACTCTAAATATTTTTGTGATTTTTGAAAAAGGGGCTATATTTTTTCACTATACATACATATGTAGAAAAAAAGAGCAATAACCCGGAACTTTTAATGTCCATTTTTTTCGGTCTGTGAAAAACTCTCTGGTGGTAAACAATTGACCGACCCAAGAGCTGTGGAAAATCACTTTGTCGAGTTTTTCCCCGATAAACCACTGAAGTTCTACACCATGGAATTATGATGCTACCCGAAAAATTTCAAAAGGTCATAGATAAAAATGGTCAGTATATACTTCATTAAAATTGAGTTGCTGCAAAGTTTTTTTTTTTTTAATTAAGCCGAAAATCCGCGGAGACTTTTCAAAATACCAAATATTTCTAAGGCAATTTCGTGTTCAATTTATGGTTTTTCTTATACGAGTATGCAGAATTAGTTTCAAGAAAATTTTATTTCACGTGGAAATGTGTACATATGAAAAACTTTTGGAAAGATAAATTTACAAAGTATGTCTGATTTTTTTTTTTTAAGGAAAAAATAGTAATACCGTCTGCAAAAAAAAAATTTAAAAAAAATCAGCGCTATTTTTCAGCATTTGCACTTGCACAGAAATTCAATGGGCAACAAAACTACATACAAAAAAATTTATTTAATTCTGACTAAGAAATTTGAAATTTTTATAAAACTTTGCGGAATTTTACTAATTCTTGTACAAAGTAAGAATACCGTTAATTTCTTCGTGATCGATTGATCGGATCTAAACCAAATTAGTAAGGGGCCACCTCTGAGGTACCACCTTTCCTTGAAAAAAAAATAATAATAGTTATAGAAGCATAACGACGAATTGAGAACCTCCTCATTTTTTTAAGTCGGTTAAAAAACAAACTCTGAAGAAGCAAAAGAAAAATAGCCAAAACTCGTTAAAATGTTTTTACTTTTCCGCCACCAGAAAAAATGCCGATAGCGTTCCCACTATGAGCTTAAGATAACAATTATACAGGTAGCGAACCCCAGACCTAAGGAATATCAAACTCGTAGACATTCGCATACATCGTGGTGGAAAATTTTTGGGCTGCTTAAGGGTAGGACAGCCCTAATACTACCTGTCACAATTATAAAGAGATATTGGGGTATTTTATCAACTGACCTCCAAATCGAAGGTTCTATTCGATTGTCGAATTTGGCAAGTGAAATAATTTTAGCCTAGAAGATAGCCGAATCCAGTGTAGTTTTTTTCCTGGATAGCCAGGCAGTGATCAACGCGCTTACCTGATAGCCAGAACCGGTTCGGCTCTTGATGTTTCAGTGGCATAAGAGGTTCTAGAGACCTAGCATCCTGTAGGGTCTGCCTGCAGGAGTCTGTGGACCACTGCGCAAATCTAACAGACAAACCTAAGCGATATTAACTCACTGCAACTTCTTATGTTCTTCAATTCCACGGACTGAATTTGAGAGAAATTGCCAACTTTTGCTGTTTTAGTTTTGTATTTTCTTTTCACGTTAAATTCCATATTGAGGTAGAGGAGTAAGCTGAGATATCATGGCTTTTTCGCTTGCCTGTTAAAGTCTAGCCAGTTAACAGTCTCAAATGATTGCTTTGGAAAGAGCTTTTTTANCTGTTTCAGTGGCATAAGAGGTTCTAGAGACCTAGCATCCTGTAGGGTCTGCCTGCAAGAGTCTGTGGACCACTGCGCAAATCTAACAGACATAACTACATAAGCGATATTAACTCACTGCAACTTCTTAGGTTCTTCAACTCCACGGACTGAATTTGAGAGAAATTGCCAACTTTTGCTGTTTTAGTTTTGTATTTTCTTTTCACGTTAAATTCCATATTGGGGTAGTGGAGTAAGCTGAGATATCATGGCTTTTTTGCTTGCCTGTTAAGGTCTAGCCAGTTAACAGTCTCAAATGATTGCTTTGGAAAGAGCTTTTTTATTCTTAATATTTTACCGTTAAAAATCTCTCGAGCTTTGCGCTAATTTTCTGTTTCGTTGGTAGATTGTTCTATTGCTTTTCTTATAAATCCCATTTATATGCGCATTGCGTAATAATGTCAAACGTTTCCTGCGCAAGACAAAAAAACTGCTAAGTTATACAAATGCGACAATTTTATTTTTTTTTTTTGTTGCCACACATTTCATTTCATAATCTTGCTTTTCAAGTAAATCTCTGTTGAGCCACAACAAAGCNATTCTTAATATTTTACCGTTAAAAATCTCTCGAGCTTTGCGCTAATTTTCTGTTTCGTTGGTAGATTGTTCTATTGCTTTTCTTATAAATCCCATTTATATGCGCATTGCGTAATAATGTCAAACGTTTCCTGCGCAAGACAAAAAACTGCTAAGTTATACAAATGCGACAATTTATTTTTTTTTTGTTGCCACACATTTCATTTCATAATCTTGCTTTTCAAGTAAATCTCTGTTGAGCCACAACAAAGCAAACTAAAGCCACAAAGCAATGCTGACTTGACCGGGTTTTAATGAGTTAATGGCAGGCTATTAAGCGGCAACAAACGGACGGACGTGGAGCAACAAAACGGGAAAAATATAATAGAAGCAGAAAGAAAAAGAAAATTTATAAAACTAAAAAAAAAATGTACGGCATTTGAAACAAAAGATAATTGTTAGGCGTTGTCNCAACAAACGGACGGACGTGGAGCAACAAAACGGGAAAAATATAATAGAAGCAGAAAGAAAAAGAAAATTTATAAAACTAAAAAAAAATGTACGGCATTTGAAACAAAAGATAATTGTTAGGCGTTGTCGAGATTTAGGAAAAAAAAGGAATAAGTAAGAAGTGTTGAAGCAATTAATATAATTATTACATTATGCAATGCGGCTAACAAATTTGAGATTTCTTATTGTGTGAGGTAAACTGGGGGAAATGAGCTATTAACGGGAGCTTTTGAAATACTTTAATATAAATTGAAAGCTGTACAGAATAAATCATATGTGTAGGCAGAGATGAATAGGAAAACCAAGCGGCTTAATTTATGTTATATTATCTTTGAAAACGATGCTTTTTTTGTGTACTAACCATTTAAATGCACTATGCGTCAACTAGTCGCATAACAACTACTTTGCAACTAGTCAGTTACTGGTATGTCTTCCGAAAATACATTTTTTTTTTAACTATTTCATTTTTTTTGCCGCAATTTCGAAAATGGTCGTTTAGTAAATACTTTGTAACCCGTTGATTTTTCGTGAATCTCTCAAATAAGGCTAGCGCCCGCTTTTCTGGTATGGTCTCAAACTCAATTTCTTTAACAATTACCTCGTACCTACAGTGGAAAGCAGTGATGAGTACATGGCGATTTTTTTTAATATTTTAAAGATTTTTAAAGATAAAATTTCTTCTTATTTTTCACAAAAATATGGTTCATGCTTTAACCAAACCG